GAGGCAGAGATTTATTTTCTGCAAGAGAAGCACTCTGTTTCTCTGAGTGGGTGGCCACGTATGCATGAAGTGGTTTCCCTCCCCTCCTCTCAGCACCCTGCCTAGAAGCCCTGTGTTTAGACACTTTCCGGGAGCGGTCTTACCTGACTGAGAAGCACGTTGTGTGCACAGGGTTTCGGGCCTCCCGGGGCCCCAAACGTCCAGAAAGGACTGGGTTCTGTGCCCTCCTGACCTCCAGCTGAACTAGGGGGAGCTCCTGTCAATCAAATGCTTCCTCTGGGCCTAATCAGGCATATTATACCTATTCCCCCCCCCAACTAAAAAAGCACTCCGACCAGTTTTCATAGAACTATTTACCTTCTCTCTTAAAATTCCAAATCACAGCAAACAATATCCTCTAAAAATCCAGCAGATGAATTACACACAGTCACTTCAGTGCTATGGTAACATCACTATCCGTGCTCTCCGTAATCATTAGGTGTCACCTGATTTTGTTTGTTTTTCTCATAGGCAGTTGGCCTGGACCTCAGCTTCTAACCCTCAGTCAGAGGAGAGCCCCTCCCGTGAGTAATCAAGGTTGAGTCTCAAAACAATGAGCTTCCCTGAGAGGAACAAATGCTTCTAACTCTCTCTTTTTCTCTCTAAAACCAAATATTGATAAACATCTTGGGCCCTGAGGTCCAACACAAGGCACCCTGTCTTGGTTCCTTGAGGGAAGAAACCTGGGCAGAGTTGACAGAGATGGCCCAGCTGGGCTGTTTCTCTCAAGAAAGCTCCTGGACCCTGAATGTCATCTATTCCATCATAATCAACAGCAGCCGGCAACCAGGGCCCTCAAAACTCGAAGAGGCCCATCGCAGACACCTTCTCATGCTCTGGACCATCACTTTCTCATGGTCACTGCAGGATGAAGAACAGCACAAAAACAGCCTCATTTTCAGCTCGGTTTCTCAAGCTACCATGACAGGACAGGGAAACAGCTTCCTTCCAAAACTCACGCATTTCTATGCACGAGGTGAACCCTAAGGTACCAGGTAGCTGCCTACCAGGCAGCCTTTCATAAGCAAGAAGGCAACCAAGGTCATGGGTGCTCATTTAAAAACCCCAAAGCTGCTGTCAGCATGACGGCTACACAGATCCAACTCATCCTCCGGGTGCGAACACAGAATAGCCCCTTCTCCCCGGGTCTCCCCCGCAACTCCCATCAGGAACTACACGTCCTTCAGTTCCTGTCTAAAGTCAGGGCTGGAGTCTTTTCTGCCCTACTTCTTTACCAGGATAGACCATCAGAAAACTGTCAATCTCATCTACGGCGCTTGAGGTCCCCAGGGAAGGCCCTCTGGAGGACACATCGGCTCTCTTCTGCTGGCCGTGCCATGCCACTTTTTGTCCTCTTTGCCTTGGTTGCTGGCAAACTGAAGGCACCTTGGTTTTTTGGACACATAACAAGCTCTTTTCTCTACTGCCTATCTTTTGTAATTTGGATCCTTATTTTAATGGCCCTCTTGCATGGGTATATTAACATACATGGGATTCCAAATCATTTTAGGTAGACTAGAAATTTTTTTTAAAGTAATACTAGTTGCCTAATCTATAAAGTAAAAGCTAATAATACTTGCCTCATAGGGCTGATTCAGCAGCATATAATGAATGCACAGCATCTAACACAGCACCTGGCACATAAAAGATGCTCAATAAATCAGATCTAATTTGACTTAAACACCAGCATGTCGTTACTAATTTACGCCCAAAGCAGCATTACAGATGTTCGCATGGCAAGAATTTCTCATTTCATTTATAATTCAGCACTTATTTGATTGCCAATTGGCTTGGTGCCCACTTATGACACCAAATAAATGGCTTTTGAATGATGATATTTGAAATAAAACCATGCATACCAAGAGATGCTAGAAAGTGGGAGAAAAACACCATTCCAGGACTCCGCTGAGTTAAATGCTTAAGATGAGCCTTACGCTTAGCTTTGTGTTTTCAGGAAGCCAAAACGAACATCATGCTAACTTCTGTGACTCTCATCCTCTGATAAGTGGAATGTGGAGCTCCTGTGAAAAATGACTTTTTCTCCTAACATCTGGATCGGAGGGTAAAGGCTCACACTGCTCCTCACACGAGGGATGTTGGGCACACAGCAGAAAGGCCACGCCCACGTGTGCCCACGTGCAGAGGGAGGCACACACACCCATCCTCCAAAAGAGAGGCTTCACTTTTTGGTATTAACTGGTTAGGGACTGGTGGGTGAGCCCTCTGGGGATTTTCCAGGGGTGCTCTTTATTGTTTTCTAAAACTTTCACCAAGAAATTTGTTGCAGAGATGGTATTCCCAGATCCACTGAGAATACCGTCCATACTACCTTTGTTCACGCACACTTAAGGAACGTGGAGTTAAACTGTTTCTATCTCCAAATATGGATCCTCCTCCGGCGTCACATTGGGGAAGTAGCCTGGCCAGTGGCTACCCTGATAGGGCAGGCTGGCCTCCACCTTTCCAAGCCTCCTCACAGCCTCACCGACTGCTCTGAGCTTGCTGACCAGAGGGCCCCACGGATGGGGAGACCGAGGCTGCACTCTTGTGTGGCTCTGCTTCCTGGTGCTGGCAAATCATCAGAGACACCAGACTTCTCTGGGAAAGCCATCATCATCCCCATTAGCGGCAGGGCCAAATGTTAGCAGGATTTATTGGCTTTGATTAACAAGAAGGTGTTTGTTTTTGCAGGTAATTAGAGTTCAGCAACAAGCTATAAAGAGTCCTCCAAGAAATTCTAAACAGGCTGTAGCTAAAGGCTACTGCAGCATGACTGAATCTAACTATTCATCTCTGCAGACCTGCCGTGTTACGACGCCAGTGTTCGATCCGGCACAATTGCACAGGTCATGGCGGGGAGGGGTGCTCTGGTCTTAATGTCCAGGGAGAAATGGCAACACGTATGTGCTCACGCGCGGGGGTGGACGTGGCTGTTCATACAGATATATCTCTTAAAAGCTCACAACACCCGAGTGCTGGGAAATGTTTTGACAACTCTGCATCCTCACAACTGTTGGCTAGTTGATTTCGAGGCACTACAACATGCCGGGTGGGTCAGTGAGAAGTGAAACAGTGAGATAATGTTAGCCAAAGCCACACTGATTTACACTTTTCTTTCAGCGGCCACTCTTGGGTACAAGTTTTTTCCTTAACAAATCAGAGAGATGAACACAAATTTCATCGTAATTAATTTAAAAAATTATTTTCTAGCTGTGTCAGCAAAATAGTATGGGCAAAGTGTTGTCACCAACGTTTTAAAATTGTTTATAAGATGAAATAACTGGGTACGTAGGGATAACTGCTCATCTTGCTTCTCTTGGCCAGTAACATGTTATTTTCTCCTTAATCCCAGGAAATACACAGATTATTTTCGTTCACTGTACTCACACCATGATAACCAACAGGTACAGAAAAGTCAACTACCAAACCCGTCTGCAGGAGTAAAAAAAATCAAAATGGGACCAGATAAACAAGGCAAAACAATAAAGCCACAGATATGGCTGATACTAGAGGACAAAATTGCTTTTATACCCCTTGTACATTGGCTCTACTCTTGCTGAAGCTCAAGTTCACATTGAAGGTTCCAGGCATCTTAATGTAGGTCATTAGAAAACCTTTATAGTATCTATTTTTCCCCCAAGAACTATATTTCCATTGAATTCTGTTCTCTTCAGTCCAATATAAATTTTCCCATTGTTTTGCATGTTCTGGCCTCTTCAATTTATTTATGCAAAGTTCTGAAGCAGTCAGATCATAATTTTTCCTTCAGAGAAACATAAATCAGACACCCCTGAAGAGAGAGGAAACTCTCGGGCCATGGTCTGAGAGTCAGCTGGCTTTCTGCCACCTGAGTGAGACGTCCTGCAGGTGATCTCAACCTTGCACCAGCCCCTCAACCCCTCGGACCTTGTTTCCCCATCTGAACAGCCAAGGAGGCTTCCTCAGATTCTCTCTACATCGCCCTGGGGCTCTAGGGTTCTCTGGTTCTTCCCTCCTCAAGAGAAGAACTTCCATGTGCAAAGGCAGCAGCTGAAACTGAGACACTGACATTTCTACCTTCAGAAAGTTGGACTTTGCCACCGGCTGAAAAGAAAACAGAAATTCAGCAGCACAAAGATAAAACTCATTCTTTGAGTGACATATTTAGAGTGAATCAAAGATCATGCTACTCAGCCATGAAAAAGAACAAAATAATGCCATTTGTAGCAACGTGGATGGATGTAGAGATTGTCATTCTAAGTGAAGTAAACCAGAGAGAGAAAGAAAAATACCATATGATAGCACTCATGTGTGGCATCTAAAAAAAGAAGAAAAGAGGACACTAATGAACTCATCTACAAAACAGAAACAGACTCACAGACACAGTAAACAATCTTAAGGTTACCAGGGGAAAGGGCATGGGAACAGATAAATTAGGGGGTTTGAGATTTACAAATGTTAGCCACTATATGTAAAAACAGATTTAAAAAACCAAATTTCTTCTGTATAGCACAGGGAACCATATTCAGTATCTTATAATAATCTTCAATGAAAAAGAATATGAAGATGAATATATATATGTAGATGCATGACTGGGACATTGTGCTGGACACCAGAAGTTGACATGTTGTAATTGACTACACTTGAGTTAAAAAAAAAAAAAGATCATGCTGATCCCAGAAGATGATACAACTCAAGACAATGCTGAGAAAAACCTGCTCCCTTTACAGCGTGTGCTTTACGAATAGACACAAACACCAAATGCGCATGTCCACTCTCAGAGCCAGTCTGTCCAGTCTTCTCTGGGGTTCCCTGAAGGGGTGGGACCCAGGCTTGCTGCCCTAAGTCCTTACTCTGGAGGAAGCACAGGCATACAGCAGCACGGTTTTAGAACTTGCACACTTGGAGTGGAAAAAAAATATATATATATGTATTCAGAAATGAATTTAAAGAGGCAGAACAATACAGAGTCTGATACTTACTTGTGGCCCAGCTCATGAGCGATGGTAAAGGCCAAATTGAGACCATTGTCTTCGGCAAGCACACATTTCCTCTTAGCACTGCACACACCTCCTAAGTAAGCAATTCCTGCAGCAGAGACATAAAACACATCCTCTTCAGAACGTGGGAGGCCCTGACCTCGCAGGGCACATCCGCACAGTCAGCATCACACACGATCAAGAGAGAGGCAGGCGGGAATGAGGACGACCGAGACCACGGGCTGGGTCTGTCATTCCAGCGCTCACGAGGAGGACTGGCTGGTGCACGAGGCTCTGTATTCACCTAATGATAATAATACTAATAGGAGTAGAAGTAACAACCACAAACGTCTATCAAGCATTTGATACGCGTCAGGCAGCGTGCTGAGCGGTTTATACATACTGTCTAACATGGTCCCCATCGCCCAGGATGGAGAGGGAACAGGGAAATCAAGGTTCAGAGAGGAAAGGAAACATTCCCGAGGTCACTTGGATTGGCACCTGGTGCTGGGACGCTGGACCAGATCTGCCCAACTTCAGCATCCAGGGCTGGGACCAGGCGAGGCCCATGAGGCAAGGCACCCAGGGTGCCAGGTTCAGGGAGGGTCTCCCTCTCAGGGGCTGACCCTCAGAGGGAGGGAGCGCCTCCTCAAATTTCACTCCCTGGGAACCTCCTCCTCCCCCTCACCCCAGTCCTGGCCCTATGAGGGTCAATGCTCTTGGGGTATGAGCTTGGATCAGGACTGGGACTCACAGAGAGCAGGCCAAGGAAGACTGTGCAGCATGTTCCAAAAAATGGGTCAGGAGCCCAGGAGAGAATGAGACTGGGGCCCGGAAGCATGGAGAGAACACTGGAGGAGCAGGGCCCGGAAGCCCTCAGGGAGGATGGGTCCCACGGCCCAGCTCGCTTATCTCCACACACACTTGGTGGGGCACCAGGACCTTCCCTGAGACAGGAACACTGAACCAGAGCAACCCGGAGGAACCAGACACAGGAGGATGGTGTCTGCAAAGGGGCCAAGTACAGAGGACAGTAGGCTGCAGCCTCCGGTGGACGACAGGAGATTTCCAGGGACAAAGGCTGTACTGGCAGAGGTGTGTGTGACCAGTCTGGGGGCTTGGGCGGAGGAACGCTGGGCAGTCAGCCACGCACAAGCCACACGTCTCCAGGCTGACGCTGCGTCATAGGTTTCACTAACCTCTGCACCCAGGGAGGACAGCCTCACAATCCAAGTGCCCCCAGGGCTTATCTTAACAAAAGCGGGAGTCCATGGACCCCCAAAGCTTGGGACAGAACTTGAGTGAAGACATGTCAGCCTTCCCATTGCTGGTGGCGTCTGATTCCTCACTGTGAAATCAATGAGGGGCTGGTGGCACAGTGGCTGGTGGGTCACACGCCCAAGGAGGCTCAATGCTCCCCTCACTGAGCCCACAGGGGTGTGGGGCAGGTAGTGGCTCTACTGGCCCCGAGCCAGGTGTACATGACCCAGTGTCACCTGGTGGCCAGATGGATGGAGGCTCTGGTCACCAGCCCTGTGCCCTGGGAAGGGCTGGGGGCACCCAAATGAGGGGCACCTGTTCTCCACCCACAGACACTGCCCACCGCCAGGCTGCACGCTGCTTCCTTTCTCTGAAGTGCACAAGGTGTCTCAGGAGCTGACGGTGGCCCTGCTGGCACAGGAGCCGGGGAGGGAAAGAGCTGGCAGAGGAGACTGAGCAGGGGGAATTAATTCATTAAAAATGAACCTCCCTCCCTGCTCCCAAAGAGCCAAACCAACATCCTGTGTGTTGACATCCAAATCAAACTGGGGCGGACCTCAGCCATGCACAGGGCACTCCCCACCCCCCCGACCCTTGCGATGGGGCAGACAGAGCTCACACATCCCGAATTAGCAGTCGGGGGGCTCAACTCACATTTGGCACACCGAACCAGGCACCACGGTAGGTCTATTTTTATTTGGAAACATGCAACGTGCTTGACCAAGGCTGAAGAATTTTTAAAAAACAAGAAAGATAAGGGAAAAAAGGAAAGGTTATTTGGCCTAAAGATGTGTTTGTTGCACATGGGCATCATAATCCAGCCATGCAGACTACAGGAAGGAAGAAAATGACAACCAGAAAGGACCGGATCTGGCTTTTCGGTGCCTTCAAGGTCATTATTCTGGTTTTGTTTAAAAACGCTTTTTGGCTTGCTGCAAAGAGTCCAGCAGTGAGCAGGAGGAACACTCCTACATGGCACGGGTGGTAGGCATATACCGCACACATGCACACACTCAAATGCACACCCAGCCGCGGCCGCCCCGCCCAGGCCTCCGCCTCCCGGGTATATGAATGGATCAGAAACAATCAGAGGTGCAGGCCTGGGAGGAGCCGTCTGGTGAGGGGGAAAGGGAGACATCTAAGGCCAGCAGTGCTGAGCCTGCGGTCCCAACAACGCCTGCTGACCCAGCAGACTAAATGCCACAGAAACACGTCCCCTGGCCTGGGCCACGCTCAGCACCCGGAACGGGCAGTCCTGACTTTCCACTCTAATTAGGAAACACGCACCACCAGGGGAACAGCTAAGCAGAGAGCCTTCCAATAATCTCATTTTAATTCTTCCAAGGTGCAGATGACTTTTTCTTTCTTTCTTTTCTGTTTTTTTCTTTAAACTAAAAAACAAAGCATCCGTTTATTTACACGAAATGCTCTCACACAAAGGTGGATTAAGGTCTAATGCTTTTAATGATTTCTTCCAATCGTGAGCAGCCAGGTCATAAAACCAAGCAAGGCAAAAGAAAGAAAGAAAAAAAAACATGTCAACAAAACTGGCCCAATAATGGAGCACAGGGGCTGGTGCATTTCTGAGCGTTGGTGAGGAAATACTGAGAACTCACAAAACAAAGTCGGGAGGGGATCCCAGGTTGCTGTAAAAGAAAAGACCTGCAGGGAATGAATGGTAATTAAGCCAGAGTGGCCTCGGAAAACAAAGCTCACCACTATTTGGGGTTTTCTGGAAAGAAACAGCAGTCTACAGAGGCGGGTATGCTGGAGACGCACAGAAACACCCCAACACCTCAGGCTGCAAAGGCACCAACCCCCGAAACCCTGCCCAACCTCCACCTAGGCACTTGTCAAGAAATGAGGAAAAACCAGTTTTCTCTGCACTGATTTCTTTTTAATTAAAAAAAAGTGAAGTCTGTAAACACAAGTTCTGCTCCTGTCAGTCCTGACGCAGTAGAACCAGAGGGACCTTCTTGTGTAACTGGAATCCCCCACCCAGAGAGCAAGGGTTCCTCAGACCCCAAGGGTAATGCTTTCAATGGTTTCAGCCTTCCGTGATTGAAAATTCTCCACCAAAGAAATCAGAATAGAACTTATTTTTGAAATTAAAAAAAAAACCATCGATTCCACATGTTTGCAGAGCTCCTTAGAACAAAAGGGAAGCAGAAAGGCAACTGACATGGGCAGGCACTGCTTCTCGGGCTTGGCTCTCCCATATCTGGAATGTATACTGGCCCCATTTTACAGACAGGTAAATGGAGGTTCAGCAACCTGTTTTATGGCTGATATTCAGGGCCCAGACTCGGGTACAAACGCAAGGCTGTCTTTCTCCAACGCCCATACTCCTTCAGGCAAACCCCAGGCCTCCCTCGTGGAAGCTTCGGTAACCAACAGCAATGATAAGCCTGGAGGATTTAGAAGATTTTCATAAATGTTACCGCGTGCTTAGGCTGAGATGTGGGTGGGATGGAGGAGAAGTTTTGTGTGTTTAAGTCCAAATGTTTTTAATCCTGAAGATAAAAAGACTCGAGGGATAGATGCAGCCACGTGAACAAGCGTTACCCCTGGGACATGGTGAAATCATTACAGATTTTTAAATTTTTGTTCCCCTATTTTTGGCTTAAACCTAGAGCAACGAATATGTATTTGCTATGAAAATTAAAGTTATTAGTTTTATTTCATTTATTCAAGGTGACATCTAGCAGAGGCAGAGATGGGAGACCAAAAAAAAAAAAAAACCCTCCAGATTTTGATTCTGCGTGTACAGTCTCTTAGGCAGCAGATGAGGGACGTTCAGAGCCAGCATATAACTGAGTGTGTGCCTGCATCCTAGCGGCCACTCACTCCATCTCCGCTGCACCCCTGGCACAGATTAGGGAAGCGAAACACATTTTTAACAATCTGAAATACCGAGCACAGAAATGATGAAAACTACATAAAGAGTTTTTCTCATGCCCAGAGAAATATGTCCACTTCATCCCCCAAAATAGATCGCATCCGACCAGAGCCTTCAGGCCTATCTTCCCAGCCACATCAGCTCAGTGTAGACACTCGCTGCTCCGTTCTTTTCTTTTTCTTGGTAGAACACAAGCTGAGGGAGCCAACTGGGTGAGGAGGTCTAATTATTTTCTTTTTCAGTAGAAAACTGCGTGGTCTAAGCACATAATTCTTCAACTCAGAGCGGACCATATGATCCTTTCTAGATTTAAGGAGTAAACAACACACGATTGTATAAACTCTGGTTTATCCAGCAAATTGTCTGTGTAAACAGTTTACAGCTGTCGGCCCTGCTGCCCATTACTCAGACCTTCTTGGGCTCTGCCTCTGGGAGAGACATCAACCTTCTCTCCCACCATCCGCTCCACGCGCCCACCCCATCACGGTTCGCACCGGCACACCGCACTGCCAACTACGAGAAAGCAACTTAACACCCAGCCTCTCGGCGATCACAGGGGCTGAGACTGAGCTTCACACTCCGGCTCACGGACAAGTCCTTGTGCTCTCGGAAACTCAGTTAAGCGGTTGGAGGTGTGATTCGAATTTGTGTACGGCATTTAAGAGCAAATGTCTTACGTCCCAGGATGTGACAACTGAAAAGTAATTATAGTTAATTCTTGTCATTCACGCTCATGAGACTCTTAAAAAAAAAGTCGCTGTGAACTCTGAATTCTTGAATATAGAACCATTGCTCCTAGGAGAAATACAGGGTTTGGTTCCTGTGAGCCTCTGGACACGTTTTGCCAACTGATAAATAACCTTGTTTTATGCATGTTTCTGTTTAAAGGCACCTTAATTCAACATACATTGTTGATTCATTATCACTGAGCTCACGGCCAGTGGTCCTAT